AAAAAAAAAAAAAAAATGCACCGAGTTCTGTTCTGGCGCAACGCGATTTGTGTTCTCTTTCTCACGATCGCTTCTCTTGTTTTCGCGCGCCCGCAAGTTTTGTTTATCCTCGTCGCGAACACACACGCTCGTTGGCGAAACGCTAACAAGCGACCTGTGTCTTCGTCGAGACGAAGAGTAAGAAAGAAGAGCGGACGAGAGCGTTGCAAAATTGACGGATTTTTTTATGATGAACCTCGTTTCACGTGCGGCATGAGAGCCGGTATCTCGATACGATCGTAGATATAAATTTTTCTTGAATAAATTCATGAGATTTAAAAAACAAAAAAAAAGAGATGAAAAACAAGATTTAAAAAAAGCGTGAACATTGCGTGTTACATTTTAATCGCGATAATGAGGATCCTTGAAACTTCCATATCATATCACAAAAATCAACGTTTTTATAATGTGGTTCAATATCCGAAATTATAAAGAATACTCGTTTTTTTTTTTTTTTTTTTTTTGATACGTTGACTATTTCAAGTTTCTATCATTTAGACTGGCTAGGTCTCCGCAAAGACTAACTGCCATTTATAGACGTGTGAGAATTGTAATCACATCGTTTGCGCGTGTAATTTTACAAGGAGGCGGAAGAACAGTATAAAGAGAGTGTGTCGGACTCGTTTTGTTTTTCTTTTCGTAAGCGGAATTGCGTAAGGTTTGGTCTCCTCTTCGGTGGTTGATTCGATCGTCGTTACACGCGCGCGTTTGAGAGCAAAAAAAAAAAAAACCACCGAACAAAGAAACCCAACTCTATAGAAATTTCAGACACGCGTGAAGTATGGTTGCGATGCATCGAACGAACACGCGCGTCTACGCACAATTCTAATGCGCGTGTACGTATAATAATACATTTCTTCTCTCTCAAGACGCATTGCAAGCGCGAGTGTGGGAATGTGGGCCCGAGTTGTACGGTACCGGGAATCAAAGAGCAGGAAAAATGTGTAATATAATTTTTATGCTACAGAAAGAGAGAGAAGCGACGTGCGATCCGAGCAGCGAATTTGCGATTTATTTATTTTTATTTTTTTTTTTTGTGATATTGTGATTAGTCAGAATTTTTCATCAAGCTTGCGCTTCTCTCATTTCCTCGTGGTGATCTAATAAAATTCGCGAGAGAGCGCGGATCGTGTCTTTATCTCGGACGCAATGCGCTGCCGATTTTTTTCTCTATATTATTATTGTATTATTATTATTATTGTTATTATTATTATTATTATTATTATTATATAATTATTCCATAATTAATTATAATATATTATACTATATTATTATTATTATTATTATTATTATTATTATTATTATTTCACGTTTTACTATCAGAATAATCGCCAAGGTTACAGTCGTGCACAACGTAGCTGCTAAACAATTTCCTGTACATATTTCTGTCATTGTATTAATTTTAATAATAAGTATGTATGAAATAAATGCAACATTGCATTCGCAATTGGTGGTGTGAGTTTTTTTCTTGTCAATTTCCTTTTTTCCGTTTTCCTTCATTTATTTGGTTTCTCAACACGTCTGTTTGCTGCTAAAATTACAACATTGATTCTTCGCATACGGCAATGCTAAACGGGTTGCCTATCAGAAGGATAAACACGTTGCGATTGAGAAAATTGGACATTTCACGTTCGACGTATTATTCGAAATCAATCAACGATTCCTGTCTCACGGGACTATCAAAGGGCGGGACAGCGATACGAATTTAAAAAAAAAAAAAAAAAAAAAGGAAAATCGAGCGCGTCCGATGTGTTCGCGCTCGTCCGATCAAAATGACACGACACACGCCGAAGACGGAGGGAGAGAACGCGGCCCTGGATCTTGGAGTCTACTTACCGATATGGCGAATGGAACACTTTTTTTTTCGCGAATGGTCAGCTTTTTATCCTATAAATAGGTATACATTAGCGGTGGCGCAGCTGCCGCGATGATTCACTTTCGAAGACTTTTCTGCGAGACACGGAAACTTGGAAAAACGCCTCGGACTTTCGGACGACTGCGCGAAATTCGCAGTTTAATCCATAAATTTGAATTTAAATTAATTGTTTTGACATACGTTCGTTAATAACTTAATCATCTTGACATTTTAATCGAAATATTACTCTAATTTACAAGTTGTTAACTTCTCTAATTAAAAAAAATTCAGTTAAAAAGTTCTCTCATCGATTTTTCTTTACGTTTAACATGACATTCGCTTTCGACAACATTCGCGAAGGTCTTCACCTCATTGCGAACAAGTTTGTGTTTTTTTTTTTTTAATTCGCGATCCCCCGTATCTTCCGGAATTAATTAATATACTGACGATGATCACAGGGGCGAAACCGTGCGATTATACATTTAATACGATTGTGTCACCGCGCGCGACCACGTAATCCCCGACGTGGATACAGATGCTGCCATTTTAATAGATAATAACAGGTGTGCGCTCGCTGTAATCGCGCATTTTGCAATTGAATGAAACGTGATATAATCGCGCTCAAAACCAAGTCAACGCGACTTTGCCTTGCGGAGATGCCCACGCGCGTTCGCATGTTATATTCAAGAAATTCAGAAATTCATCGCTCGTATGTAAATTCCAATCCTCTTCTCTGATCGATTATACGAAAACACGATATATTAGTTTCTGCGCGTGTTACGTTATCGTACGTGTTTCTCTTTCTCTTAAAAATCAACAATGAGACGTACCGCGTGCGATTTCCGTCTCGGACTCGCAAGAAGATTAATGGAAACTACCAGCCCACATGAATTTTCTCGTAATCATCCCGGAATCGTTTTCTGTTGAACTGAGGTGCGAGATACAATTCGAATTTCCCACGCTCGGCGCGCTTTCATCCGCGCCGCGTCGAATTTTGCAAGAAAACTGAGGAGCACAGAGAGAGAGAGAGAGAGAGAGAGACAGTGGTGGCGGCGATGGAGGAGGTTGTGTGTGTGTGTGTGTGTGTGTATTTGTCTCTTTCCACTTTATCCTCGTGGCCTCTCTTGAGAGTAAGCCGATAATGGAAAGTGCCGGGGGCGACGAGCGATTACTTGGCGATTCGTGGCGCCTAGAAATTGCTAAATCAACGCCGGCACGCCGGCATCGTAACACCTGGCGCGACCAAATAAAGTCGCGCCGCCGCTGCCTCGCGCGCTGTCGAATGATAATTCGTTAATTAGCGTGTAGGTCAGGGTGCGAGAGTCTGCGCCCCCCCCCCTCCCTCGATCACGTATAACGCAAACGAAGAAAGGGAGAGAAGTACAAAAAAAAGCAATAAAAAAAAAAAAAGACGAAGAGAAGAAGGCGTGCGGACGAACACGTGCACGCGTGTATATATGGAATATATACACGCCGCGAATTCAAAACGGGCGCCGACAAACGCGCGCGCCATTTGCGAGCCTCTAATTACAGACCGGGAGATCGATTTTATCCCGAAGTGGATTTCAAGCCGATTCGCACCACGTGTCACGTCAAACGCGATTAAAGCTGATACCCGCGCCGATATCCCTCTCTCGAATTTCGTCGCGTGAAATTTGAAAACGCGCGATACTACACAACTTTCACTTTACGCCGCCATCTCGCTTATTCGCGGGCGAATTTGAGTTTCAATGATCCCGCGTTAATTTTTCCGCGGAAGTCTTCTCGCAATCCTCAAAGAGGAAGGACTTTGCGCGCGCGCGCGGGACTTAAATCTTCTCCGTGCGACAGCGAGGGTCGCGACTCATCCGACTTTAACGAGGCGAACGCGGATGTTATGAAAACCTTGTTATTTCTTTCGGACGGCGATGTCCTTTTACGGTTTCGCGATGTTTGCAAATTCTGAGCAATGCTCTCGGCAACGCGCGCGCGCGCGGCAATACCGCGACATTAATCCTGACGTCCCGTATACGGCGACAAAGCGATTATTAGGCGCGAGAGTATCTCTCGCGCGCGGCTATTGTGTCTAATTTTAAGATCGTAAATCGTAGCGCGCGAGAACCCGCACGTGTGCGGCGGCGCGCGTATGTATGTACGTAACGCGCGCATTTACACGCATCATATCGTCCTTTATGGTAGCCGATAATTTGCATACTTTGTGAAATCGTCGTCGAATCGTGTGTCTCTCCCCCTCGTTGTGCAAATAATATCCGCTCCGGGGGGTTTCGCGGATTCAATATGCGCATGCATGCACACACGAAATATCTCTCGGACAAAACAAAATCCCAAACAAACAGACTACACGAAATTCGCATAAATAGAAATTTCGTCGGCGTTAAAGTTCCTTAATTTACGCGAGTAGCCCGACAAGTTTATTCGGGTATTTATAGTTGTCACATGGCAAACCACCCG